GATTTAAGTCAAAACTGTAACTCGGCCACTCAGGAACATTCACTGTCTTCTTGATAAGCAACTCCAGTGTATATTTGGCCTTGTGTTTTAGGTTAATATCCCAGTGTCTGGTGGAAAGCAAACAGAACCAGGTTTTCCTCTAGGATTTTTCCTGTGCTTGGCTCCGTTACGTTTATTTTTTGTCCTGAAAAACTCCCCAGTCCTTAACAATTACAAGAATACCAATGACATGATGCAGCCACCACTGTGCTTTAAATATGGAGAGTGGTACTCAGTAATGTGTTGTATTGGATTTTCCCCAAACATAACACTGTCAATTAGGTTAGTATTGTGGAGTAACTACAATGTTGTTGATCCATCCTCAGTTTTCTCCTATCACAGCCATTAAACTCTTGAACTGTTTGAAGTCACCATTGGCCTCATGGTGAAATCCTTGAGCGGTTTCCTTCCTCTCTGGCAAATGAGTTAGGAAACCCCTGTATCTTTTTAGTGTGTGGGTATATTGATACACCATCCAAACTTCACCATGTTCAAAGAGATATTCAATGTCTGCTTTTTTTATTTGTACCCATCTACCAATAGGTGCCCTTTGCGAGGCATTGGAAAACCTCCCAGGTCTTTGTGGTTGAATCTTTGTTTGAAATGTACTGCTGGAATTACAGATAACTGTATGTGTGGAGTACAGAGATTATGTAGTCATTCAAAAATCATGTTAAACACTTATTATTGCACACAGAGCGAGTCCATGCAACTTATTATGTGACTTGTTAAGCACATTTCTACTGCTGAACTTATTTAGGCTTGCCATAACAAAAGGGTGGAATACTTATGGACTCAAGATATTTCAGCTTAATTTTTTTAATTAATTTGTAAACATTTCTAAAGACATAATTCCACTTTGAAATTATGGGGTATTGTGTGTAGATCAGTGATACAAAATCTCAATTTAATAGATGTTAAATTCAGGCTACAACACAACAACGTGGAAAAAGTCAAAGGGAGTGAATACTTTCTGATGGCACTGTAGGTAGTCGGTTCATCAGAATCAAGCTGTATATTTAATGTCTAACGAATGTATCCTTCGATAGTTATTTTTTGGACTGCACTGATGAACGGCCAGGGTGCGTTCGCTACCCACTTATAGCAGACGGACTCCCAAACTGTTAGATACAGCATGCACATGTCACCTGTTACACTAAAACTTTAGCGATAACCACCATTGGGCACTATAGTGTTGTACTATTATGGGATGATGGCTATGGGACCATCAGAACACATCTTGTGTGTGCTTCCAAGTGTTATACCTCTGTTACAGATCTTCCGTTCTGTTCCCCTGCATATGCACTCTTGCTATAAACTGATACAAACGTTGATCCTCCACACTGTGGGAGAACTTCGCTGTCATCAGCTGGCTTATTTGGGTGCAGGAGCAATACAATGCGGGTACACTAAATAAATGAGAAATTGCATTCCACACGCCTAAATCTCAAGGCTTACTGTTGTCCAGTATAGCAGTTTTCAGCCACAAGCCCACGTATTTAATCTACGCCCTGGTAGTTAGCGTTACGCAGGGATCTGCTGACCATTGGAGGCTCCTCAGAGGAGGAAGGGAGGACCATCCTACTCAATTAATTTAATAAAAATAAAAATTGTGAAACAAAGTTATCCTTTTTAGATAAAAATATACTAAATATATTCACATCACCAAATAACTGATTAAAACACACTGTTTTGTAATGAATGTCTACAGTAGCCTCAACAGCACACTCTTGGATAGCACCATGGTGTAGCCGGAGGACAGCTATTTTCCGTCCTCCTCTGGTTACATTGACTTCAATACAAAACCATGGTTCTCACACTGTTCCATAGACGTCCTCCAACCTATCGGAGCTCTTGCAGTGTGAACTAACGTCTTGTCCATCCAATCAAATAATCCGAGAATGAATCTAGTACTAAAAGCATAAGCTGCAGCTAGCTAGCACTGCAGTGAATAAAGTGTGGTGAATAGTTGACTCCAAGAGAGAGAAAGACAATAGTTTAACAGTTTTGAACACATTTTCTCTAAAACATTAAGGAGAAGCAGCAGAGAGAGAGCTATATTTTGTTGTATTTTTTTCTTCTTAGTTTACCTTTTACTTACTTAGCTAACACAGCTAATTTAGCGTACTCAACAAACTGACTCGAACAGAGAGGAATTCTATTTATGTTAGCTAGCTGGCTAAGGCTATCCAACACTGCAACTCTTCCATGTCAAGGTAATCTTTCGGTTTGATTAATTTATTGACACCGGGGCCCGCTGGTGAAACTGCTAAACTGCTTGCTGTACACTGTACTGCATGATTGTAGCGGGTTTACTAACGTGTTAGTTCTAGTAGCTATGTTGACTATGACGTTAGTTAATATGGTGACACAACGATGTAGGCTGTGTGTAGCGGTTAGCAGTTACGGTATGAAGGTTTGGCCTGGAAAGGTTTTTCGCCTGGTCACAGACAGCTGTTGTTTTCTACAATGTCCACAAGCGAAGGGAAAAGGTGAGAGGCGGAGAGCACGTAGATGCAAGAAGGAATTATACAACGAGCAAAGTGATCATGCTGTTTGTATGCTGCTGCTATGAATGTGAACTGTGTTCAGTTGGTAGAGCATGGCGCTTGCAACGCCAGGGTTGTGGGTTCGATTCCCATGGGGGGCCAGTATGAAACATGTATGCACTCACTAACTGTAAGTCGCTCTGGATAAGAGCGTCTGCTAAATGACAAAAAATGTAAAAATGTAAAATGTTTGAGGGTGATCACGGGTGTATTAATTCCGCCGATTCTGTTGAAAAACATTTCTTCAACGGAAGCAAACGGAACAAAATGGGGATAAACATACCTGAATTTGTCCAATAGAAACTCTTGTTTTAGTCGTAAAACGTTGTTTGTGCTACTGATTACACCCCAGATCAGCTAGATGCAGGCAAGAGCATGTAAGGCGGTATTGAATGTGTCACTGTCTGTCACCTTGATTAATCTAACTTGTCTCTCGACCTGTGCACCTACGTTATAAACTTTCATTTGTAGACTAGGTTGTAGCAATAGTAGCCTAAACCGATGTTACATTGAGCTGGGTGAATGAAATATGAATGACTGTCATCCAATATGCTGTAATAGAAATAAGGCCATGCTCATAAAAAAATTATCCAGCATGAAACGCCACTGCTGCTGACCCAAACAGAGAGCTTTTCCATCCCCATCTGGACATGGTGGCTCTTTGGGCTTGGTCCGTGAAATGATGAATCTTAATGCGACAGATCTACCGCTGAAAGTTGTGCAGACTATTCAGAGCACTATAGCCCCTGCCACACGCTCACTATAGTACAATAAGTGGCGTGTATTTGAAAGATGGGGTGAAAATAAACAAATAAGCCGCCATTCGAGCCATGTGTAAATTAGATTTATCTTGTTTAAAACCACTTTACCTTTAGCCATTACATCTGCAAAATGAGTGGGAGAGCTGCACGCACTGCCAGTCCACCACTCGTGCCTGCAATTAGCCTCGGGATTATCCAAGGTTACCTTACAAACTAACCCCGCTCTTTGTGCCTAAAGTTAGTGCTTAATCGCCTCACTTTAGAGCTGTTGGCTTTTCACCCACCACCTTTTTCCTCCATGGAGGGAAGAGCGTCTCCACTTATTGTGTCCAATACGTGCATTGGCGCATATACATGGACAGGACAAGAGCCCCACGAAAGAGCGTTCAGCTCTTTGTCTCTTGGGCACCTATACCCACACAGGGAGGCCCATTTCTCGCCAGCGTTTATCCCATTGGATAGTGGAGGCTATTATAGTGCTACAGTTCCTTCAGAAAGTATTCACACCCCTTGACTTTTTCCACATTTTGTTGTGTTACCGCCTGAATTGTGTCACTGGCCTACACACAATACCCCATAATGTCAAAGTGGAATTATGTTTTTAGAAATGTTTACAAATTAATTACAAATTCAAACCTGAAATTTCTTTAGTCAATAAGTATTCAACCCCTCTGTTATGGCAAGCCTAAATAAGTTCAGGAGTAAAAACGTGCTTAACAAGTCACATAATAAGTTGCCTGGACTCACTCTGTGTGCAATAATAACGTTTAACATGATTTTTGAATGACTACCTAATCTCTGTACCCTACACATACAATTATATCTAAGGTCCCTCAGTCAATCAGTGAATTTCAGACACAGATTCAACCATAAAGACCAGGGAAGTTTTCCAATGCCTCACAAAGAAGGGCACCTATTGGCAGATGGGTAAAAAAAAAATGCTATTAATTACACTTTTGGACACCCAGTCACTACAAAGATACAGGCGTCCTTCCTAACTCAGTTGCTGGAGAGGAAGGAAACCGCCCAAGTATTTCACCATTAGGCCAATGGTGACTTTAAAACAGTTACAGAGTTTAATGGCTGTGATAGGAGAAAACTGAGGATGGATCAACAACATTTTAGTTACTCCACAATACTAACCTAAATGACAGAGTGAAAATACACTGGGAGACAAATTCACCTTTCAGCAGGACAATAACCTAAAACACAAGGCCAAATATACACTGGAGTTGCTTACCAAAACGACATTGAATGTTCCTGAGTGGCCTAGTTACAGTTTTGACTTAAATCGGTTATGGCAAGATTTGAAAATGGCTGTCTAGCAATGATCATCAACCAACTTTTAAAAAGAATAATGTGCAAATATTGTACAATCCAGATGTGCAAAGCTCTTAGAGGCTTACCTATAAAGATTCACAGCTGTAATCGCTGCCAAAGGTGATTCTAACAGGGGTGTGAATACTTATGTAAATTAGATATTTCAATACATTTGCTAAAATTCTGAAAACATGTTTTCAATTTGTCATTATGGGGTATTGTGTGTAGATGGGTGAGATATTTAATCAATTTTGAATTTAGGCTTATTTTTCTTTTTCAAAAGCCTTTCAAAATGCAGGAAAACCAGGTCCATCGGCTAGAGCAGTTGCTAATGCTGGTGAGAGCCAACTTCAGTCAGGCCGTTCATGAGGATGGAGACAGAGAACCGGTAGACCCGGCCGAGGACCGGGAGACCGTCAACCTGGAGGCCATCTCCCTCCGGAGGGACAAGACCTCCCTGCAGACACAGCTGGAGGGCTGCAGCAAGATGTGCAACGAAGACTTTGTCCAATCACTAGGTGGCGTCTCTAAAGCCTTCCTGGAGAAGATCGACACCCTCCTGCCCAATGTCACCACCTGGACCAGATCCGCAACAACTGCACCAGTCTGTCCCACGAGGTGGAGACCAAGTTCCAGCACTACCTGGACAATGTGGGCTCCCAGGTGTCGAATATCCAGGGCTGCAGCCCCTGGCTGCAAGCAGAGAAAGACCGGCTGGCCGAGGACTCGCGCCGGTGCAGCCACAACCGCAGTGCCATGGCCCTGGAGCACTGCAAGAAGCTACAGAAGACCCCGGAGAAATACGACGAGAGATGGAGAGGCTGCTGATGGATCGCAAGAGGCTGCAGGGGGACAAGGAGCTGGTGGAGACAGCGATGAAGGTGAAGGAGGGCGAGATCAACATCCTCAATGACAAGATCAGGAGCCTCCACACGTTCTTGGTCAACTATCTGTCAAGGGTAAGGGAAGAGCTATTGTATGGCTTTATGCCAGGCTTTCATCCATCAGAGATAAGCCATGGTAGATAACGACAGAAATGACTTTGAAGTCAAACTGTGGACAGAAATCGTTTCCGTCATTGGTGTGAACGGATGGAGTTGGGATGCTGGTCAAAAGATTGAATCATGTAAATGAGATATGCAGTTGCCCATCAAAGGATTTGCTATGACAATTTGCTCTAGCAAAAGACATTAGTGGAAACTGTAAGCTATGTTTGATAGCTTTGTTGTGCTCTACAGTGCTCTAGATTGGCCTACTTTGATACAGATGTTTGGATCCATTAAAGTACTCCGCACATGCAAACTGATTTTTCTTCTTTAAATATCTCTTTGTGTGATCATTGCAGTATCAAAAGAGATCATGTTAACATAATGCACTCTGAAGTAAACACCCATGGCACTGTTTTGGGCCATAGAGCTCTTACATAACATGTTTATTATCAAAAGAGGCAGTTAGGAACTTGGCAGGGGTCCCACTATGGTGCTGGAGGAGATGTGTCAATCTCATTAAAGGAACAATGCAGGGAATTCAAGGTCCAACTGGCTGGTAAAGTGCCACATCCTATATGATACTTTCACAGGAATATGTGGTTATATTAAAATAAATACTGTATGCTTTGTTCATGTTGTTATTATCTGTTATTATAGTATTTTTACATAGTCTATAACTCATTCTCATATTTTACAATATTTTATGACAGTATTTTCACCGGACATTATTCTCTTTGTCTTATTATGTTTCAGACCAGCATGGGTAGCCCAGGGATGTCTGGACCAGGTCAGTCTGTGCCCTGGGGTAGCAGCCGACCTGGGATGGGTGGACCTAGCTCAACTGGGAATGCATTTGGCGGGGCAGGGTCAAGCTCAAGAGGGTTTGGGTTGACTGGAATGGGTTCAACTGGGATGGTTTCAAATCCATTTGTTAGTGCATGGGCAGGTGGACTAGGGACGGGTAACAAGCCAGGCTCAACTAACCCATTTGGTAATACAGGGATGAGCCTGTATTGATGAGCCTTGGATTGGGTTCGTTAGGGCTAGGTGGAGTAGGGCCAGGTGGAGTAGGGCCAGGTGGAGTATGGCCAGGTGGAGTAGGGCCAGGTGGAGTAGGGACAGGTGGAGTAGGGACGGGTGGAGTAGGGACGGGTGGAGTAGGGACAGGCGCAAAAGGAGGGTGGGGAGCAACGGGAGTGGGTAACACAGGAATGGGCGGGGCAGGGTCGAGTGCAGCAGGGCAGGGTAGCAGAGGCCCAACTGGAACAGGATTGGGGGCTGGAACAGGTGGGTGGGGTGCATCTGCAACAGGAAACTGAAACACAGCATTTGGCAACACAGGAATGGGAGAGGCAGAGTCAAGTTCAAGTTCAACAACATCAGGTTTTAGAGGGTCAAGCGGAACAGGGTTGGGTTCGAACTGAGGATTCGGTTCAACTGGGGGAGCTGGGTTTGGGGCAGGCTCTAGTGGGACAGGGTTTGGCCACATAGGAATGGGTGCAACAGGAGTGGGTAATAGAGGGTCCGGCATGGGCAGCTCCAACGGTTACAGTTTAGGTAAGACTACTGATATCAAGGCTTGATATAAAAATCACTTCTTATAAAGACTAATATGCACTATGGAGAACGGCTTATGTTGCTGTTCTGTTGTTTCCACAACAAATATCAATCAACACTTACGAGAGCTGCAGCAGTATTCCAACCCCAACTCTGGCTCAGAGTGAGTTCAAATACCCTCTGGGTATTTAGGTGAATCTTAAATAAAAGTATTAAGTTCTTGTTTTAAGAATGCCAAATAGACCTTTTAATTCAACATGGCTTTGAGAACATTTAATTATGACATTAGAATGTCATCAACATTTTAGAAAACAAATGTTGATTTGTAATGAGTCATAGAGCCTGTACTTTGGAGATTAGTTTTAGCTCCACATTAAGTAATGAAATTGGCCTATATGAACTGCAACTTTATAGCTAATTTGTGCATTCAAAAGACTCCCTAAATATCTCAATAAGGTGCTAGGTTTATGAAAGAATTTCACATTCAATTCCATAGAGTAGCAAGCCATCGAGGCAAGGACATTAGAGAACATATTGAACAAAAAGCCTGCTGCTGCAGTAGATGCAATGAACTGAACAAAGATCTCTGTTATTTCTTTTTCTTTGCAGAGTATCTGGCTAATCAATGAAATCTCACCGAAGGAAATGGAGGATAGATGGGTCCCTCTGTAGGCAAGCAGCTTGGTGAGAAGGCAACAACTGTTGGCGCAATTATTAGAAAATGGAAGAAGTTCAAGATGACGGTCAATCATCCTCGGTCTGGGGCTCCATGCAAGATCTCACCTCGTGGGGCATCAATGATCATGAGGAAGGTGAGGGATCAGCCCAGAACTACACGGCTGGACCTGGTCAATGACCTGAAGAGAGCTGGGACCACAGTCTCAAAGAAAACCATTAGTAACACACTACGTCGTAATGGATTAAAATCCTGCAGCACACGCAAGGTCCCCCTGCTCAAGCCAGCGCATGTCCAGGCCCGTCTGAAGTTTGCCAATGACCATCTGGATGATCCAGAGGAGGAATAGGAGAAGGTCATGTGGTCTGATGAGACAAAAATAGAGCTTTTTGGTCTAAGCTCCACTCGCCGTGTTTGGAGGAAGAAGAAGGATGAGTACAACCCCAAGAACACCATCCCAACCGTGAAGCATGGAGGTGGAAACATCATTCTTTGGGGATGCTTTTCTGCAAAGGGGACAGGACGACTGCACCGTATTGAGGGGAGGATGGATGGGGCCATGTATCGCGAGATCTTGGCCAACAACCTCCTTCCCTCAGTAAGAGCATTGAAGGTGGGTCGTGGCTGGGTCTTCCAGCATGACAATGACCCGAAACACACAGCCAGGGCAACTAAGGAGTGGCTCCGTAAGAAGCATCTCAAGGTCCTGGAGTGGCCTAGCCAGTCTTCAGACCTGAACCCAATAGAAAATCTTTGGAGGGAGCTGAAAGCCCATATTGCCCAGCGACAGCCCCGAAACCTGAAGGATCTGGAGAAGGTTTGTATGGAGGAGTGGGCCAAAATCCCTGCTGCAGTGTGTGCAAACCTGGTCAAGACCTACAGGAAATGTATGATCTCTGTAATTGCAAACAAAGGTTTCTGTAACAAATATTAAGTTCTGCTTTTCTGATGTATCAAATACTTATGTCATGCAATAAAATGCAAATTCATTACTTAAAAATCATACAATGTGATTTTCTGGATTTTTGTTTTAGATTCCGTCTCTCACAGTTGAAGTGTACCTATGATAAAAATTACAGACCTCTACATGCTTTGTAAGTAGGAAAACCTGCAAAATCGGCAGTTTATCAAATACTTGTTCTCCCCACTGTACATACACACACACAGTCAACACTGCTGTTCTATTATATACTGTATATTCCACTGTGTGACCAAGTCTCTACAGACTTTATATTTGTAAATACATTGTAAATACAGTCCATTATTACTATGCATACTACCTCTTCTATTACTTCTATTACTTGTTATTTTTGACATTGTGTTGTTGTTATTGATATTGATTAATGTACTGCATTGTTGAGGGAGCTAGCACAGAAGCATTTCACTGCACCTTCTATACCTGCTGTAAACAGTGTATTTGACAAATACAATTTAATTTGATTTGAGAAGATATTTTTTACATATTTGACATTCAATTGAATACCTGAAGTTGCACCAAAATGTCTGGATTCCATAAATTTTTCTGGCTCTCATTATACAATTGTCTATGTGTTATAATACAGTGAATATTTGATGCTTTTTGTTTATTAAAAAAGAGTTGAGTATCTGTGCAGCTGTTACATTTATCAGAACTGTATTTTTAACCTTTTATCCATTTTGACGACCGTTGCTAATACTACTACTAATACAAAAAGTGACAGTGTGTTCGTCCTTTAGAAGATGGGGATGTAGTTGTCGATCTTAGACTTCTGTCTCTGTGTGACACACTCTGCAATCCAGATGATGTTGCGAGCCTCCTGCTCCTTCAGCTTGATGTAGGAGTAGAACACGCCGAAATGGAACTGCTCCAGAAAGGCCAGAGTGTTCAGCTGAACCTGATAGAGAGAGAGAGAGAGAGAGAGAGGAGAGAAAGAGAGGAGAGAGAGAGAGAAAGGATAGAGAGAGAGAGAGAGGAGAGAGAGAGAAATGAGAGAGAGAGAGAGAGAGAGAGAGAGAGAGGAGAGAGAGAGAGAGAGAGAGAGAGAGAGAAGAGAGGAGAGAGAGAGAGAGAGAGAGAGAGAATATGTGCATACAGACCACATCCTCAGTCTGAATTTATTGTATACAGGCTGTACAATACTTAATGACATTTGTCTTACCTCCCGCTCAAAGAATCTGTCCTCCAGGGTTCTGGAGGATTCTGCCTCAGGTTCATCAAAGATGAGTTTATAGTTCTGGAGGATATAAAATCACATCAACTAATAAGACATAATAACTATAATATGACATGATATATCTATTACAACACAGTATCAGACTATCATACTCAGTGCACTGTAGTAAGCTTAAACCAGGCTGTAGTAGTCCGATTCACTGCATAAACAGGGTAGTCATACAAATCACAGCAGCACAGAGAGTATAGAAATAAAAATAATAATTCAGAAGTCCATGAAAGAAGAAATGGTCTAATTCTCGAGTCAAGTTAAACCCTGCATTATAAATCTGACTTTAATTGTACAGTAGTCCAACTGATTGGGGTTGTGTTCATTAGGCACCGAACAGAAGAACTCTGAAACAGGGAGGGACTGTCTAGCGTTGTCCTATAAGTAATGCCCAGTTTGGGTTTCCATTGCTTTCAAACTCACAGGGTAGTAGTCAGCCACAGCTTTGACCTGCTCGTAGTCCTCTGCCCTGGCCAAGAGACGGAGCCCCTCAGGGTACAGTCTCCCACAGGAGGGGTACAGGGCGCTCCTCTCCCCCCCACTCAGGTCTGTCCCGAACGAGTTCACTGTGATGATGAACGCACGCCGGTCGGCCTCAAACTGCAACACACACACAGGAAGTAAACCACAAATACCTGCACAGGGGTAACACATAGAAGCTTACTGGCAAACACACACACACATACACACATTTAAAAGACAGACGGAGAGAGAGAAAAAGAGACAGATAAAAGTCACATATAAAGGTAAAAAACAAATAGAGTACAGATACACAGAGAGTGTATCACATGCAGTATAAGTTTACAGTACACATACACTCTAAAACCACACACAGACACACACAATAAAAATACTCATTCAAACTGTAACTGGTAATATCTCAGGTAAGATGAAAGAATGGTTTACAATACCTCCAGGATAGGACACATGATGTTCTTTGTGGCTCCTCCACTCTCCTGACAGAATTTATAGAATGCCTCCAAATAAGCCTGTTTAAAATTAAAAGACACTTTCAGATCTAACCCATTGAAACTAACTTTTCTGTTTCTTTTATTCACTTTTCTCAATTATAATGGTAAGTGATAAACATAATCACAGTCATGAAAATAAGTTGAATCGCAAGAGTTAATTCAACTCCCATGGAGTCAAATGTAACACTATTTTGTGGTTTATATGGTCCCACCCCCATTTTGTGTTAAAACAACTCTGGTAATGGTATTGATATTTTTGGAGTTAAAGGTGCTACACATATAATCTCAGAATTTCTCTCCTATGTGGAAGGTAGGTGAATTGCAACAGCAATAGGTTACATTCAAAACAAATCTCCCCTTCTCCGCAGTCTCTGGCAACTGTAGCTCAGTTGGTAGAGCATGACGCTTGCAACGCCAGGGTTTTGGGTTCGTTTCCCACAGGGGGCCAGTATGAAAATGTATGCACTCACTAACTGTAAGTCACTCTGGATAAGAGCTAAATGACTCGCGCTTGAGCCTTTTACTTTTGGCCCACCAGCTTCAAATAGCTGTACAATTGTGTTATTTAAAAGATACAGTATTTCACAGAGATTTAGATTGTACAATGATTCCCTACACTATTCAGTGCTTGTTTTCTCACATAAACTGAAATTGTAGAATTTTAGCAACCAAGAAATTACAGAGTGATTTCTACATTGGCCATTTGACCCGATTTCCACTAGATAACACAGCCAGAAAGTTAAAACTGCTTTTCCATTTTGACAACAGATGCCGCTCAAGCGGGATAAATCAATAGGCGAATATCACAGCCAATCATAACACTAGCGGAAAATACTCATTCCTAGCTCTGTATAAAGGTTAAGATTCTGTCTATTAGACCACTCCAAAAAAGTTTTTATATTCTATTCTTTTACTTTTGTTTTCTTTTTTAAATGTATTGATAGTAATGGCTTTCTCAGGTCTCACAGACACTTTCACTGTGATGTCATGACCTTAGAAAGAATTGGGACCCTGATGTCATAAGCCACTGATTATGACATCAACACAAATAAATTGGAATACTGAGCTCTCTCATTACAGTTGGCTAGGACAGCCTGGCTAGGACAGCCAGCAACCATCTACCCTGGTAGAGGAAAAGCATACTCTGGACCAACCCTCTCCACAGGACAACAAGACTCAGACTCCAGACCAACCATCTACTCAGACTCTGGACCAAGAACATCTACAGGTTCCTGTCGTTTTGATCTCCATGGAGGAAGTGGTTCTGCTGGCAGATGAGATCCCGGCCTTGTTTGAGGAAACAGCTCCAGTTGTGGGTGTAATCCAGACCTCCCTCGAACAACAAGCTCCCCTGCTAGACCAACCATCTTCACAGTACAACCAAACTCTGGAACAACCAAAGGTTACTGGCAGATGGAATCCCAGCCTCCTTGGAACCAACAGTTCCAGTGGATTACATTTGGACCTCCTTGCTCCCTGCTCCACTGGTGGACAACCCTCTGACCTCCTTGGACAATGGTACCAAGAAGGATGACCAACAGACCTCCCAGCAACAAGAGTATCGAACCTCCTGCAGGCATGATGGTGACATTTCAACCTGTGTGAAACCAACAGATGATATCTGGTCCCTCCTAGAAGGAGGTGCTCAACTGGTCAATGACCCTGTGATCTCCATGGACCAAAATGGTTCCCAGGCTAACGGAAGCCGCACCTCCCTAAATTACTATTTTACCTAAGATTAAAGTTGGCCCTTCCTGGAGCAAAATACTACGATATACAGACCTCACTTGGGAAAGGTCCTCTACCCAGGGCCCATGTTCCAATGTACTCATTTACAACTGCTACATCCATCAACAGTACATTGACCACCTCAATTTGAACCTCCCCAATGGTATGTATGCATTCAAATATCATACAATATACATGTACATACTGTAAATACATTGTGTTCATTCTACACTCTTCAAGCATCGCTCTGGATAAGAGCGTCTGCTAAATGACTAAAATGTAAATGTATTGTATCAGTCAACAGTACCATTTCAGTTGGTTTGTTGATGTTTATTCCAGACCAATCATCCTCCACCACCCTCCATAATTCCAACTGTAGAACCATGGTGGCAGCAGGACCATGTTCTACGAACATCCACTCCCAGCTTCTATGCCAGGAACAAAGGTGATTCATATTTTCAATAATAGTGGGAGCAAGTAACGTAAGTGCTTGGAGTTGAGCGAATTCTGTTTTTCTCATTCTGTTAGCTAGAATAATTCAGTCTGGTTATTTCTGAGCAATAAGGCTTGAGAATGTTCCCTTTTGTTACAGATGTCAGGAGTACTAAGCCTGACCCACCACTAAGCCTGACCCATCCCTGCTGGCTCCTCTGAGCCCAATGGCTCTGCCCTTCTCTGCGCTGGTTGAGGGTCTGTCTTCAACTCTCTTTCCAAGTAGATATGTGGACATCATGGCTGGTTCCACCACCACCAAGCCTGACCCATCCCTGCTGGCTCCTCTGAGCCCAATAGCTGTGCCCTTCTCTGGGCTGGTTTAGGGTCCATCTTCACCTCTTCTTCCCATGGAACATTCTCCATGCCAGAGGAACAGTGGGCCAGTGGCAGGGCTTCCCACCACAACACCCCAGACTAGCAGACAGCCTCAAGGCTGGCTCAGTTGGGTCTTCAGAAAAAGGAGGTAAGGAACCATTTCTTACTATTCAACACAGACACACAAGATTCATCTTCTTTATATTACACAAACATTTTTATCTCCTGATTGATGGTTAGATCCTTACTCCTATTGTCCTCTCCCTCCGATTGTCTGGGACAAAGCTCTCAACAAATGGGTCGACAAAAATGCCCCTTTGGAGCAGGTATTTCATTGATTTAATGTTAAGCATTACATCACACCCAGTTGTGGGTGTTTTCTAATGTTTTGTTGTTTTTCTTTTACTCTCCAGAGCAAACCTGTGTGTCACGCCCTGGCTCTGGGGACACTTGTATGTTGAGCCAGGGTGTGAGTTTCATTTGTTTCTAGTAGTTGTATTTCTAGGTTGGCCAGAGTGGTTCCCAATCAGAGGCAACGAGTGTCAGCTGTTGCTGGTTGTCTCTGATTGGGAACCATATTTAGACAGGCTGTTTTCCCACAGTGGTTGTGGGATCTTGTGCTTTTTGGTTTGTACCGTAGGACTGCACGTATCGTTTGTTGTTTTGTTCGGGTAATCACAAATAAAGAGTATGTTTGCTTTCAACGCTGCGCCTTGGTCTACTCCGTTCAACGATTGTGACAGAAGATCCCACCAGAACTGGACCAAGCAGCGGGTCCAGGAGCCATCACCAGGGAAATCTCTGGCGGATATCCAGCGCCTCCTTGACTGGGTCAAGCCGGGTGAGCAAGAGAGGGGCTTGACGTGGAAGCAGAAGGGCGAAAGGCTGGCGAAAAGTATGGAGACCTGGTCCACGGGTAGGAGAGAAGCCCAGACATTTTTTAGGGGGGGGCTAACGCCGTGGACGACGGGGCAGCAGGAGACCGCGATAGAGCGGCCCAGCGGGTTGGCAGAGGAGGCCGCCAGGTTACGGGGGCCACTGGTCAAAGAGGGGAAGGAAGGTGTAGAGGCACGGCGAGAGGTACTGGGGTGTGTTACCAGTCCGGTCCGGCCCGTTCCAGATCCCTGCGTAGGGCCAGTGGTGTGTGTCCCCAGTACGGTCCGGTCTGTTCCTGCTCCCCGCACCAAGCCAATGGTGCGCGTCGCCAGCCCGGCCCGTCCTGTTCCTGCTCCCCGCACCAAGCCAATGGTGCGCGTCGCCAGCCCGGCCCGTCCTGTTCCTGCTCCCCGCACCAAGCCAATGGTGCGCGTCGCCAGCCCGGTCCGTCCTGTTCCTGCTCCCCGCACCAAGCCTATGGTGCGCGTCGCCAGCCCGGTCCGGCCTGTTCCTGCTTCCTGCACCAGGCCAATGGTGCGCGTCGCCAGCCCGGTCCGGCCCGCTCCTGCTCCCCGCACCAAGCCAATGGTGTGCGTCGCCAGCCCGGTCCGGCCCGCTCCTGCTCCCCGCACCAAGCCAATGGTGCGCGTCGCCAGCCCGGTCCGGCCCGCTCCTGCTCCCCGCACCAAGCCTATGGTGCGCGTCGCCAGCCCGGTCCGGCCTGTTCCTGCTTCCTGCACCAGGCCAATGGTGCGCGTCGCCAGCCCGGTCCGGCCCGCTCCTGCTCCCCGCACCAAGCCAATGGTGTGCGTCGCCAGCCCGGTCCGGCCCGCTCCTGCTCCCCGCACCAAGCCAATGGTGCGCGTCGCCAGCCCGGTCCGGCCCGCTCCTGCTCCCCGCACCAAGCCAATGGTGCGCGTCGCCAGCCCGGTCCGGCCCGCTCCTGCTCCCCACACCAAGCCAGTGGTGTGCGTCGTCAGTCCGGCACGGCCCATGCCTGTTCCCCACACCAAGCCAGTGGTGTGCGTCGTCAGTCCGGCACGGCCCGTGCCTGTTCCACTGGTGCCTGGTCCGGCACCGGTCAGATGCTTCACGCCGGAGCTAGAGCAATCCGCTCCACCAGTGTGCAGTCCAGCTCCGGCCAGCAGGGCCAGACCGGACCAGGGGTACTTTGGGGGGTTGGAGAGGGAGTGGGGATCAGGCCCGGAGCCGGATCCGCCGCCAAGGCGGAGTGCCCACCCGGTCCCTCCCCTGTGGTATTTAGTTGGCGCGGTCGGAGTCCGTGCCTTTAGGGGGGGGGTACTGTCACGCCCTGGCTCTGGGGACACTTGTATGTTGAGCCAGGGTGTGAGTTTCATTTGTTTCTAGTAGTTGTATTTCTAGGTTGGCCAGAGTGGTTCCCAATCAGAGGCAACAAGTGTCAGCTGTTGCTGGTTGTCTCTGATTGGGAACCATATTTAGACAGGCTGTTTTCCCACAGTGGTTGTGGGATCTTGTGCTTTTTGGTTTGTACCGTAGGACTGCACGTATCGTTTGTTGTTTTGTTCGGGTAATCACAAATAAAGAGTATGTTTGCTTTCAACGCTGCGCCTTGGTCTACTCCGTTCAACGATCGTGACACTGTGCCACCACCTCCCACCATGGCCATGATGAAGCCTGGTTGGCTAGGAGACTACAGGGGCTACTGATCCACTAGTCTCTATCAACAGCAGTATGTCTTACATTACATTTGGAGACCAGATGTATTCCATGCCTGTGTATGGTAGTGCTCAAAGTGTGAGGTAATGCAGAGATGATTTTACATTCAATTGATTTGATGCCACATCACCTTGTACAGTTTGTTTCTCATGATCTCAGCACCCATCTCATCCAGGTTGGCCTCAGACACAGCATCCTGGAAGAACGGAGCTGAAAAGACAAAGTAGCACACATAGCAACTATTTTTCAAAGAGTGTATCTAGAACCTAAAACGGTTCTCCGGCTGTCCACATAGGATAACCCTTTGTATCACCCTTTTTGTTACTAGGTTGAACCCTTTTGGTTCCAGGTAGAACCTTTTTGTGTTCCATGTAGAACCCTTTCCACAGAGGGTTCTACATGGAACCCAAAAGGGACAGCCACAGAACCCTTTTGGAACCCTTTTTTCTGAGAGTGAATGGAATGGGAATAAACCCAGACTCAGAACACTGACACATCCATAAACCTTCATAGCAATAGCCACAGTTGATACTAGTGAGCAGCAGGAGGCAATGTTACGCCATCCTCTGAGTTATTGTATACTCTCTTCAGTACAAGGCTACTCAGTTCTAAATAGTGCAAGCATGCTGCCTTTTAATGCACTGCTTACGGTACGATCTAGAAAACTAGGTGCGTGGATATTCTGGTCAATAAATGACTTAAAGCTTATTAATAATGAAGCCTAATGATAATAATCCAAAAACAAGGAAAGAGCTTGCTATATTCTGTCAACATAATATTCATGAAGCATGTTTTGGATTTCATATTCATATTACACTAGATATTCAAAGAAGGTTTTCATAGATATTTACATTATAGATATTCAATCCAATATTTATTAGTAGGTCCCACTGGCACAGATGCCCACTGATGCCCACAGAATATGCCCACTGTAGTCTAGTGATTACCCAGAGGTGTGTCCACCAGGATGGCACAGTAGAGCTCAGCAGGGGTGCGGGCAATGCCAACCGCTGCCATCTGGTCAAACATTCCCAGTGGATGGCACCGTGGCAGAAGCTCTGCCACGTCCCTCTGCTTCAGGGCACCGGTGATCAACAGCACCACGTTGTCAATCATGTAACTGTAGCTGCAACATGGAAGAGATAAGGACAGACAGGGGAGAGAATGTGGACCTAGTTCCATTTCATTTCAAATGATTCCTTCCTTTTCCTCCTTTCGTAATTCCTTCCATCCTTCCGTAATTCCCCGATTTTAACCATTGATCTGCTAAGTTTTGATGGGTGGACGTGATATGATGGAAATATTGCCTTCACTTATCCAATCACATACAGATCAGTGATGACCTCAATGAAGGGAAAAGGTAAGGATACATTTGAGAAACATTCAAACATTGCTACAGTACTGTTCGAATATCCTCATACCGACTACTAAGCTTTAAAGTCGCACTCCAGTCCACTTTTCACCTTATTTATCACCTGATTTACTTAAAGGTCCAATGCAGCCGTTTTTATCTCAATATCAAATAATTACTGGGTAACAATTAAGTACCTTACTGTGATTGTTTTCGATTAAAATGGTAATAAAAAAATAAAAATAGCTTCTTAGAAAATAGCAATTTCTCAAGCAAGAATTTTGCTAGGACTGTCTGGGAGTGGGGAGGAGAAAACTGAAACTAGCTGTTATTGCTAGAGAGGATTGGAACTCTCCTTCTTATTGGTCTATTAACTAATTTACTGCCTGGTGATGTCACCAGGCCGGCTAAAACTCCATCCCACCAAAGCAGGCTGAAATTTCAAGCGGTCTCTTCTCCTTTGCCTCCAGAACAGCCTGAATTCTTCGGGGCATTCTACAAGGTGTCAGAAACGTTCATTCATACTGCAAACAGCCCGTTCCATCTCATGGACCAACATCCCTGTGGAATGTTTCTGACACCTTGTAGAATGCCCCAAAGAATTCAGGCTGCGCAGGCCACTCAAGTAAACTGAACTCGCTGTCATGTTCCAGGCAATGTTTTTCCAGAAACATCAGAAAAAAGGCTGCTAGATTTAGAAAACTGGAGCGGCTTCTTCTTGTTTTTAGCTGATAGGAGTGGAACCCGGTGTTGTCGTCTGTTGCAATAGCCCATCCTTGACAAGGATCGACGAGTTGTGTGTTCCGAGATGCCATTCTGCACACCACTGTTGTACTGCTCCATTATTTGTCTGTTTGTGGCCTTCCTGTTAGCTTGTACGGTTCTTGCCATTCTCCTTTGACTGCTCTCATCAATGAGCTGTTTTCGCCCACAGGACTGCCGCTGACTGGATGTTTTTTGTTTGTCGCACCATTCTCGGTAAAGCCTAGACACTGTCATGTGAGAAAAGCCCAAGGGGGCGGTGGTTTCTGAGATACTGGATCTGGCGCGCCTGGCACCGAGAATACAATGCTCAAAGTCGCTTAGGTCACTCGTTTTGCTCATTCTAACGTTCAATCGAACAGTAACTGAATGCCTGAATGCCTGTATGCTTTATATAGCAAGCCAATGCTAGGTGACTCACTGTCTGTAGAAGCGATCCATTATGCTGAAATATGAGGTGATACCGGCGGAAGAATGGCAGTATGTCACAGTATGTGTATGCATTCAAATTGCCATCAATAAAATGCAATTGTGTTCTCTGTCCGTAGCTTATACCTGCCCATACCATAACCCCACCGCCAACATGGGGCACTCTGTTCACAACGGTGACATCAGCAAACTGCTCACCCACACAACGCCATACATGTGGTCTGCGGTTGTGAGGCCGGTTGGACATACTGACAAATTCTCTTAGGGATGTAGCTCAGTTGGTAGAGCATGGTGTTTGCAACACCAGGGTTGTGGGTTCGATTCCCACGGGGGGCCAGTATGAACAATTAAAAAAATTAAATAATGTATGCACTCACTAACTGTAAGTCGCTCTGGATAAGAGCGTCTGCTAAATGACTAAAATGTAAAATTATCTTGGGAAAGGAGAAATGCTCACTAACAAGGATGTAAACAAATTTGTGCAGGAAATTTGAGAGAAATACGTTTTTTGTGCGTCTGGTAAATTTCTGGGATCTTTTATTTCAGCTCATGAAACATTGGACCAACACTTTACATGTATCACCAGAAAATATTCAGTGACGGCCAAATAGATTGCAGGAAGAGGAAGGAGAGGAGGAAAAGGGGGGAAAAGGGGGAAAAAGGTCCCCTGTAGCTCAGTTGGTAGAGCATTTGCACTTGCAACGCCAGGGTTGTGGGTTCAATTCCCACAGGGGGCCAGTATGAACTTGGTGTGATGAAGTATTGAACAAGTAAAAAATGTGACCCCTAGTAATACTTAATGTGAGACATGTACAAATGCTATGTGTTTCGTATATTTCAGATTTGTAAAAATGTGTAGTACATTTGGGGCTAAAAGGTTACTGGCATACAAGGAAGGTACTTAGTCAAGGAAGGTGTAGAGATGCCGGCAGACAGAGATAGACAGACAGATAGCAAGACAGAAGTGATTTATTGGAACACTCCTACGTGATGTAGTCGAGGAAGGTGGAGAGGGGCAGTAGGGAGTGAGCGCGTAGGCAGCGGAACTCAGTCAGAATGTTTTCCTTCAGTCTGTGGTCGACGAGAGACACGGTCAGGTCCTCATTCCCAGCGGTCAGGATGCTGCCATAGTCTGTACTCTGCAGATGCAGCTTCATGTCTACATTGAGATATTATTAAAAGACACAGGTCATATGTGGACAGGAGATTGAACCATTGATTCCATGAGGGTGCTTTGTGGTGCTGGCCACTCCAATAACAAACTGAGCACCCCAAGTATAGCAATATTCATTATAGCACCCCCCCCCCTAAATATTTCAAGACACATTTAGAAACGATGTAATTTTATTTGTATGTAAAACTGTGAAAGGATGTTTTATGTCTTTCATAAGTCACATTGGCTTTTGTTTGTTCAAATCTGTAATTCCAGTCAATTCCAGTTAACCTTTAAAGTTATGGGTTGTCTGAAAGGCATCATCACTCTATTTTGAAGCCTATAATTAACCCGTCAAACTGCCCATAACTCGCTTCCATTGTGTGGGGCGGATGATGATGACTAACGAGGAGAAACACACACATGCACCCATGTACACACACACCCACGCACACACACAATTCTACCACAGTTTAGGCCGGGATTCAAGCAAACCGCAATGTGAAAACATCGCATTGCACTTGACTTACTCAATATATGGATATCTGTGTAATTGCAAACTATACCTAAAACCAAACACTGCAACTGACACAGTGGGTTATAGAACATAATTGGTAAACAAAACTTTCCACGATACAAAGACCTCAGCTTACCCTCTAGTGTGTCACATTGGGCCAGGTTGTGGTAGTCGGACCGAGTCAGTATCCCAGCCTTCAGTCCTCGTACCAGCCCCTCCAAGTACCCATGGTCCACATTGAAGCTAAGCTCTGGATACAGCGACATTCTTCAAAACGACAAGTTAGTTAATAGGCCCTCTCTTCTTATTCTACCCACAGCTTTGGCTCTGTCTGTCTTCCAACTTCCCTCTTTTCTGTCAATGACTAATGCTCACACAATCTTTCCCTTCCTATTTGACACTTGTAAGAATTTCCATGGCTTTTGACTATTTACATATATGCTATATCCAGTATCTGGGCATTCTGTCTGACTCAAATCATTGGACTAATTGTAATCCGGAGAATCTGTTTTTCTACCGTAAAAATAAGGTAGTGTATTTGCAAATGTTCATGCAGGTTAACTTTAGCTGCAGAAAAATGTGAGCAAGATAAGAGGGACATTTTTAAAGAGGCTTTACAGAAATATTGCTTCTGAGAAATGTTGCCCAAAAGGGATCCCCTAAATGGATAGAAATCTTGCGCATAAATTACCTCATTGGACAGAAAGGGCCATACCTCCCAACACCCATGAGTAATAGCATATTGTTTGCCTAAAACTAAGGATGCGTGTGGTTTGCAATAACAGAAAACAGAACAACAAAAAACGTCCACAGTGCTGAAGTTTAAAAAAAAACAGTGGCCCATGTCAACTCTGGGGTTGATCAAGGGGAAAACACTGTTTTCACCACCAGACAGCCGATTAGCACTCATACAATGTTCTCTGACTGCTAAACAACAGCAGAAAGGAGAAACAAGAACATTATTCATCTTCTTTATAAGGTCCTCAAGATTCATAAACCTTTCCCGTAAATCATGCATGGATGTCATTGTCAATGGGAAAAAAATTTGCCAAAATGCCAGCCACACACATAGATCCGCAGGGTTCTCTAGTTAGCATTCGTCCTGAATAATGATAATAATAATAATATGCCATTTAGCAGACGCTTTAATCCAAAGCGACTTACAGTCATGCGTGCATACATTTTTGTGTATGGGTGGTCCCGGGGATCGAACCCACTACCTTGGCGTTACAAGCGCCGTGCTCTACCAGCTGAGCTGAGCTCCTGAGGGACCAGATTACACATTTTGACACAAATCTTGAGTAAATAAATCTTAAAGTTAATGTAATGGGGGGGGGGGAATTAGAGTTATGGTGTGGAGCCTGTGGTCTCTGTCCCATTGGTGAACGAAGCCTCGGAGAGGGATGTGTGACTAATAGAATGAAAGCGTATCCAAATGTGCGTCAGCCCAGCTTGAACAAAAAGGGGAATCAGGTGCTCAACTGAGGGACTTAATAATGTGTGACTGTGTGTAACTGTGTGTGTCTCATGCCTATCAGACAACACTTTGCTGATTTTCCACTGAAGTAAGGTGTGTGTGAGTGCGTGTGTGTGTGTGTGAAGGCCTGATGGAAATTTCATAAACAATAGGGGAACATCTTGGGTCTGTACTTGCGAACACAAGTCTCAAAATACGCCTCAGCCAATTAAAATGGTCAACGTTGTTGCACGTGATAATACGCTACATGTTAGCTTTACAATTTACATACATTTAAAAACATTAACATGTAGTGTGTGTGTGTGTGCATCTATCAGTTACACATACATGTCAGTACATACACACAACAAGTAGGTCACACGGGGAGAGGCATTGTGCCGTGAGGTGTTGCTTTATTTGTAAAAAAAAAAAGGTTTGCTGTTCACTTGCGCTATATAAGATGGAAGGGAGCGCCATGCACTCATGGCTCTGTATAATACTGTAGGTTTCCTTGAATTTGTTCTTGACCTGGGACTGTGAAAAGACCCCTGGTGGCATGTCTGGTGGGGTAAGTGTGTGTGTCAGTGCTGTGTGTAAATTGACTATGTAAACAATTTGGAATTTCCAACACAAGTTTCTTACAAAAACAAGAAGTGACGCAGTCAGTTTTTCCTCAATTCTTAGCCAAGAGAGACTGGCGTGCATAGTATTAATATTAGCCCTCTGATTATAATGAAGAGCAAGATGTACCGCTCTGTTCTGGGCCAGCTGCAGCTTTACTAGGTCTTTCTTTGCAGCACTTGACCATATGACTGGACAATAATCAAGATAAGATAAAACTACAGCCGGAAGGACTTGCTTTGTTGAGTGTGGTGTCAAAAAAGCAGAGCATCTCTTTATTATGGACAGACCTCTCCCCATCTTTACAACCATTGCATCTAAATGGTTTGACCATGACAGTTTACAATGTAAGGTAACACCAAGTAATTTAGTCTCCTCAACTTGTTCAACAGCCACACCATTCATTAGCAGATTCAGCTGAGGTCTAGAATTTAGGGAATGATTTGTACCAAATACAATGCTCTTAGTTTTAGAGATGTTCAGGACCAGTTTATTACTGGACACCCATTCCAAAACAGACTGCAACTCTTTGTTAAGGGTTTCATTGACTTCATTAGCTGTGGTTGCTGATGTGCATATGTTTGAATCATCAGCATACACAGACACACATGCTTTGTTTAATGCCAGTGGCAGGTCATTGGTAAAAAAAAACTAGAAAAGAGTAGAGGGCCTAGAAAGCTGCCCTGCAGTACACCACACTTTTGTTTGACATTAGAGAAGCTTCCATAAAGAAAACCCTCTGAGTTCTATTAGATGGATAGCTCTGAATCCACGATATGGCAGAAGTTGAAAAGCCATAACACATATGTTTTCTCAACAACAGGTTATGGTCAATAATATCAAAGGCTGCACTGAAATCTAACAGTACAGCTCCCACAATCTTCTTATTATAAATGGTTTTCAAACCAATCATTAGTCATTTGTGTCAGTGCAGTACATGTTGAGTGCCCTTCTCTATAAGCATGCTGAAAGTCTATTGTTAATTTGTTTACAGAGAAATAGCATTGTATTTGGTCAAACACAATTTTTGCCAACAGTTTGCTAAGAGCTGGCAGCAAGCTGAAAGGGTTGCTGTTAGAACCAGTAAATGCCGCTTTACCACTCTTGGGTAGCGGAATGACTTTGGCTTCCCTCCGGGCCTGAGGACAAAGACTTTCCTCTAGGCTCTGACAGATAGGAGTGGCTATAGTCAGCTACCATCCTCAGTAGCTTTCCATCTAAGTTGTCAATGCCAGGTTTGTCATTATTGATCGATAACAATATTTTTCTCCACCTCTCCCACACTAACTTAACAAAATTCAAACTTGCAATGCTTTTCTTTCATTATTTGTTTTTTTATGCATGAGTACAATGGCTCACTGTTCGTTGTTGGCACTTCCTGCCTAAGTTTACCCACTTTGCCAATTAAGTAATCATCAAATGTTTTTGTGATGAATAAGTCGATGAAAGATGGAGATTTCATTTAAAGTACTCCAAAGTTTTTTTTCCATCATTCTTTATATCATTGGTCTTGGCTTCATAATACAGTTTCTTCTTCTTTGTGTTGAGTTTAGTCAAATAATTTCTCAATTTGCAGTATGTCAGCCAGTCAGATGTGCAGCCAGACTTATTAGCCACTCCTTTTGCCCCATCTCTTTCAACCAGACAGTTTTTCAATTACTCATCAGTACATGGAGCCTTAACAGTTCTAACAGTCAGTTTCTTAACAGGTGCATGTTTATCAATAATTGGAAGAAGCAATTTAATAAATTCATAGTGCAGCATCTGGATGTTCCTTATTAATCACACCAGACCAACAAATATTTTTAACATCATCCACATAAGAGTCACAGCAAAATATTTTGTATGATCTCTTATACACAATTTTAGGCCCAGCTTTTGGAACTTTGGTTTTCCTGGATATATTGTGATCACTGCATCCAATGGGTATGGATACAGCTTTAGAACAAAGTCCTGCAGTATTAGTACAAATGTGATCAGTACATGTGGATGATCTTGTTCCTGTATTGTTTGTAAACACCCTGGTAGGTTGATTAATAACCTGAACCAGATTATAGGCACTGGTTATAGTGAGAAGCTTCCTCTTGAGTGGACAGCGTGATGAAAACCAGTCAATATTCAGGTCCCCAAGAAAGTAGACCTCCCTGTTTACATCACATACACTATAAAGCCTTTGACACATATGATTTAGATACTGACTGTTAGCACTTGGTGTCCTATAGCAACACCCCAAAATAAAAGGCTTCAGATGTGCCAGATGTGCCAGGTGTACCTGCAACACTTCAATAACACTTGACATAAGATCTTCTCTAAGCATTACAGGGATATTAATAAGCATTGCTGTCTCTTCTTGTCACGGATTCTGCCGAGACTGCCCTTTCTTCTGGTTCGGGCAGGCTTCGGCGTTCGTCGTCACCGGACTACTAGCTGCTGCCGGTCTATGTTTTATGTTTCTATGTTCATCTGGTTGTTGTCTAGTGTTGCACACCTGTTTCCCATTATGGTATTATGTCCTTCCCTATTTAACCTGTTCGCTCCCACTGTGTGTTGTGCGTGTTTGTTACTTGTTTCGAGTGTTGTTTGTGAGCGGGTTTGCTCCTCCCTGTGTTGGAGGTTTTGCTTGTTTCTTTACTTACAGTAAAGTAGATTTTCATTTCATTCTGTGTCCTGCGCTTGACTCTGGCCTACCGCATTCCACAGACATTCATGACAGAAACATGCACCTCTATGGAGTCAGCAGGAACAGCCGGATTAACCGAGACGATGGAGGAACGAGTCCAACGTCAAGAGATGATGATTCAGACTCTCGGTGTCACCATGGAACGAGTGTTCCAGACGATGGAACGATGGGAGAGAGGTGGTATCCCGTCACCATCTCCAACCACTCAACCACCTACAACACTGGTCACCACTCCGCCACCTGGGTCCAATGGAATTCGGCTCTCGCTCCCGAGGGCATATGACGGTACACCTGCCGGGGATAGGAGAGCGTGTCTGCCCTCATCTCCTGTCTATCGGGGAAGGCGCTTGAATGGGCCAACGCAGAGTGGGGAGGAATAGACTCGAGAACTGTCCGCTACAAGGATTTCACCCGCCGCTTCCGGGCGGTATTCGATCATCCACCAGAGGGGAGAGCGGTGGGTGAACGTCTGTTCCACCTATGACAGGAGATGAGGAGCGCGCAGGAGT